TTTTTAGAAAAAAAATTTATTAGAAAAACTATTTTTTTAAAATTTATATCTTAAATTTTAAAAAAATAAAAATAACATGTGACATACGAATCTAAATAATATAATAATAATGTGTTATTTACATTAACATTTAAATATTATATTAATATTTTTTATCGATTTTAAAAATTAAGATATTTTAATTAATAAAAGTATAATTTAAATATTTAATTCAAAAATTTTATTTACGTACACATTAAAAAAAATTCAATAATACAGGATCGAACCTAATTAATATAACTAGGGTTGAAGACTTTATTTGTACTATCATATTCATATCATTAATAAAGGGACCATATGTATGACTAATTCCTTCTCTCATTAGAAAACTTGGGAACCAAAGTTAGAAATAGTGGCTAGAAATGGTTATTAAAAAATAGAAAAAGGAGTCTCAAGTTGCAGAAAAAGGTAAGGTAACCCTGGCGTAGTACTGATGCAAGTAAATTCAAAGAAAGGACGAACTGAATTAATGGCCAAAGATTCGACATTTTGCGGTGGAAATGGTGAATCATAAAAACGTTACTTGAGAAAATGGACAAGAGATACTGCAATTTGCTTTTCTTCAATAATAGTGAATGAAGAAAAATGACAAAAATATATATAGTAAACAACATTATCCTACGACAACTTTTTCTGCATATGTAAAAAGTTAAGTGAATAGCAATGTTGGTTTCCATGTAAAAGCATTAGGTATATAGCTAGCGGCCTAACCTACAAGGATTGGGAAAATGGAAGTGGGATGATGTAATTTATACTAGGCGAATAACAATTTGTATGTGAGGCAAAAATAGCACTTGTTTCACAAAGCTTGTTACATCCATGATAATTGATTATTGGTAAGTTTAAAACCAAATTTGAAAATTCAAAGACTTAAGTCTATGTAGGGTCGATAATTTAATCAATAAATTTTGATTCGATTTGATATTATGAGATTAATTTTTTTAAAAAAAATTTGAGTTTCGGATCGGATAAGATTATAAAATAATCGAAATCAAGTCGAATTTGAGTTTTAAATAAATTCGATCCGACTTGATATTATATAAAAAATTATTTTTTAATTAATTTTTTATTTTTTTATTTATATATATTTATATAATGATATTTTTAAATATTTATATTTAAAAATAATATTTTATATTTTAAAAAATAATATTTTATTAATTTCTGATCGGATCGAATCAGATACGATTTATATAATATCAGGTCGGATCGGTTCGGGTATAAAAATAAAATAAAAAATTCGAATAAGATCAAATTCGAATTTAATAGCACATAAAATCAAATCAGGTTTAAGATAAATAAAATCCGTCTCGAATCAAATCCGATGTCAATTCTAACTCTATGTGAAGGGATCTCTGCACTAAAAATAAATAATCAAAATTTTCAAAGATAGAATCTTAGAGAAAAGCACCATGACTTTTTAGAATCCTTAATTAAATTAGAGATGAAATTGTTTCTGGTTCAGGGAAATTTATATCATTTTAAGTTTAAAGTTCGAATTATTTGAATTTTTATTATTTTATTTTGTATGTTCAAGTTATTTGAAAACAGATGACTTAAAATTCAAATACTGATTTTTAAAAGAATGCTTTTAGTTACACCCCAAATTATATTCTTCACATTTCATTGCTAAAAGCATTCCAAACTCAAACTTTCTTATATTATTTTTAGTCTATACATCCTAGATATCTAAAATTACAATTCCTTTTTTTATCCTCTTTCCTAAAATTACATCCCAAATTCTTTCAACTATTTGCGTTTTTCTACCTTAATAAAAGTCAATTAAGTAATTTTATTTAAGAATATTTTTATAATAAAAAATGAGATACAAAGAGTAATGCTTATAATGCAAATAAAAATTCTCCTTTCAAAATCAAATCAATTTAAAATCAAATCATTTCTAATTTAGTTGGATTAATTGTAATTGTTAATATTTTAATCAAATTCAATTTGGTCATATTCGAATTCAGTCAATTTTTTGAATTTTTAAAAAATTTGTAAGCTCTAATTTAAAACCCTTCACCTCCCATCATTTAGACTAAACTCATTTGAGTGTTTGAAATTTGAATACCATTAATTCAATCTATTAAAGTTATTTTCTATAAAAAATATATATATAATATACAAGAAAGAAATTAATTAATGAACATGAAATTAATATTGGTTCTAGCCTAGCTAGTTTCACATCCGCCCTTCAATTCAATCTATTAAAGTTATTTTCTATAAATATATATATAATATATAATATACAAGAAAGAAATTAATTAATGAACATGAAATTAATATTGGTTCTAGCCTAGCTAATTTCACATCCACCCTTCAATTCTACCCTTGTTTATAAGGCAAACCATTCCTTTCTTGAGCAAATTAAAGAAGATTTTAAACCTTATAGATCATGTTTATAACGTTCACTTTGGAATTAATAGTACAAATTCTAAAGGTGATGTGAACAAAAAGTCAGGATGGTTTAGAAATTTTGTAGTAGTTTTAGAAGTTTCTTTGCTATAGGGGCCACAACCTTTGACTAAATCAATGGAAATTCACACTTCAAAAAAAATAAAATAAAAAACGAAACTGTTTTGCTTGCCTAGGAGGGATTGTCCTTCTATAACCTGTTAACTCACGAATATTAAGAGTGTCGGTTCTGTTTTATTTTTCATATAATTTGTGGCCTTTCCTTCACTTGGTTTGGAATATTGTTTTACAGGTATGACCTGCCTGTGAAAGACTAACTTTTTGGGTGGTGATCAAGATCAAGGACCCCACTAAGAAAAACGAAGAAAAAAAACAAATATTATTTCCCAAACGAGTCGCTAAGGTTGTTTATGCTTTGCTGCTCTCAAGATTTTCAAATTGAGGCAGCGGGGGAGATATACAAAAATTTTGATGTGTAAATGCAAGGTTAGCTATGAAATTTGTCAATTAAAATTTGATTTTTATCCGTGTTTTTCTAGAATAAAATATTAAATGTATCACATTAATATGAATTTTTTTTTAATTATATGAGAAAAGATTAAGTCTAGATAAAAGAATACCCTTCATAGTTTTAAATAAATAAGGTTAGATATGAAAGGGTAATCAAAAAATTTTCAATCGGATAGAAGGATTTTTGGGAAAAAAAAATGTAAATTGGAGGGTTGCATGTGACTTTGTGACTTTTAATTTTGCTTTATTTATGATTGATGATGATTGACAAAAAGGATCAGTGTATGAAAAGTCAAGGTTTTTAAGATCATTACCCTTTTAAACTTTACACCAATTGATATATGCCAACCTTATTTATTTGATAATTGTTTGTACTTTTGATTCGGAGTTGAGTTGATGTAATTTCAAAGGGTAGATTCTGTTTTTATAGTTCATCAAACTACTATGATGGATAAATCAATGTTGAAATTATTACTATATTTGAATTGAAAGCTTAATTTTAATTAATTAATATAATTATATTTAAAAAATATTTACTAAATTTAAAATTTTAATTTCAACTCTTATTATTTATTTTTTATTTTCATACTGCATTCCTTACGTATAAAAAAAATATTACAACACTTGTTTGGTAATTTTCATATTGAAAGGCATATCATTTCATAATTTAAAAAATATATATTATTCATTCTTTTTTGCTTATTGCAATTTGGAAAGAAAAATGTTAAATAAAAAAACATGACGTATCAATTGGCTTGTCCAAATGTTGTTATCAACAAATCAATTATGCGTTAAATTTAACAATTTCCCAACCAACTTTTTTAGGTAATTTGATTTTAATCTGCCATTGTATGTTAGGTTTTTTGTCATCCTGCTTTCAATTGGCTCTTTTAAAAGGGTTTATCATTAACAAATTGTACCATATCTAGTCTTGTTTTAGTGTTGTTTACTTAGCTAGTAGGATTATACTGAAAAACATAGTCATGACTTGTCTCCTTTTTTTCTTTGAGAAGAAAAAAAAGGTAATTCATATTCTAGAGTCAAATCCCACAATAAAGAAATAAAACTGTTTCTGCCCTATAAGGACCATGACACCTGAATTTTTTTTTTCTTAAGATGCTAAACCGATGATCATAAAAAAATTATTTAATTAAACATTTAATTTTAATGATAAAAAATTTAATAATTTTGAATAAAAAAATATTGAGACTGCCGTTTGAGGAAGATGCTACAACAAATGTTTGCTAAAAGTCAAAATTACGGAATCATTTGTAATGAAAAGAAATTAATCACCACATAATCAATCTCTGATTATAAGGAAAAATTGATGTTTTTGCACTAATTTTTCGGATCACTTGACTTTTGTAAGACATAAATTTCACATTATATAAAAACCATTGAAGACTCTTTTTAAGTTCAAACTTAAAATCATCAAAAGATCACAAGCTTTGGGTCAATGATAAAATTAATGCCTACGTTTATCTGAAGCCGCTATCGTTCATTGTGGTGAAGGACAAATCAATTCGATCTAGTCCCAGTTCCCACCCAAATTTTCTATTACCTGCTGCTAATTTATTTAATAAAAATGAGAAATTAAAAAAAGAAAAGGTTCAATAATCAAGACACCGAAAGTCTGAAACAGGTTCTTTTGCTAGCCAAACCTCTCGTGGAAACCCGAGAAATTCACCAACTATGTACTCTGTTTCGAACTTTTTTTTTTCTCTTACACATTGTCATTTAATTCAATAATATTATAGCCTTTTCTTGTCCCCCTTTTAACGCCTCCCTCATTTATAGTCCACCTGGGTTTTCACTCTTCTTTCTCTCTTCTCCTTGTTCACTGCTTCTTTCTTCACTCCACCAATCTTTTTCCATATCTATCTTTATCAATTCAATGCTTGTTTTCGTTGTCGGTTACCTCTCTGATTGACTCTTTCTGGTTTTTTTTTTATTATTATTTCTTTGTTAGTGTTTCAATGGATATCACGTATATAACAATAAACTATCGTTTCCAAAATCATTTCTAGTTTCTAAAACAGTGGTTTTTTCAGTATAAAACTTTGCATGTTTGATTGTTTTCAAGATCCAAGCAGAACCTTTTCTTTGCATTGTTTGAAAACGTGTTTTTCATGGATCTTGTAAGTAAAAGCTACACGAACACGATCCGACTCTCGCAAGCTCTTTCTCCAATTACAAGTCCTGGAAACTCTATCTTGGGGCCTCATTTGCATTCATCAGATACAAGTTTTCCCATTATAGCTATTGCTGTTATAGGAATTTTAGCTACTGCTTTCTTGTTAGTCAGCTACTATATTTTTGTCATCAAGTGCTGTCTCAATTGGCACAGGATTGATCTTCTAAGGCGATTTTCTTTATCTAGAAGACGACCCGAAGACCCTTTAATGGCATACTCTACGGCAATCGAACATAGAGGACTTGATGAATGTGTGATAAGGTCAATCCCAATATTTCAGTTCAAGAAAGGTGGAAACAACAGGGATTTTGGAGAAAGAAGCTTTTGTGAGTGTGCAGTTTGCTTGAATGAGTTTCAGGAAGATGAGAAGCTAAGAATAATACCAAACTGCAGCCATGTTTTTCACATTGATTGCATTGATGTTTGGCTTCAGAATAATGCCAATTGTCCACTTTGCAGAACAAGTATTTCAACTACTACTCGGTTCCCAGTTGACCAAATCATTGCTCCAAGCTCTACCCCCCAAGATCCAAATCCATATACCGAAAATATCATTAGTGGTGATGAAGATTTTGTGGTGATTGAATTAGGTAATCATAGTTCCTCTGGTCAAATATTGCTTGGCGCACAAGACAGATTGAACTCAGGGGAGTTATCGACGCGTTCAATTAGTTCTTCACCGAGGAAGTTGGTGCAGAGAATTGTGCAGAAAAAAGCAAGAAAGTTTCATAAAGGCACTAGCATGGGAGATGAATGCATTGACATTAGAGACAAAGATGACCAGTTTGCCATTCAGCCAATAAGGAGGTCTATCTCAATGGACTCATCAGTAGATCGGCATCTGTATTTAGCAGTTCAAGAAGCCATAAGACAGAACAGGCAAGTCAGTGAAGTTAGCCCCATTGAAGGTTGCAGTAGTAGAGTGAGAAGATCTTTCTTTTCTTTTGGTCATGGCAGAGGGTCCAAAAGTGCAGTTTTACCTGTTTATTTGGAGCCATAAAACCAGAGTTTTAGGGCTCTCTCTCTCTTTCTCTTTGATCATAGAGATTTTTGACGTGTTAAGAGACAATTAAATTTGTGACATAGAAATTTTCAGATTAAAATTGAAAAAAAATATATTATTTTATATGAATTCTTTCTGGGGTTTATAAATTATAATGACTTGGGATAGGGGACCCTGGTCCATTGTGTTCTCAAATGACTTACAGCCATGATTATGAGCCTCATTATTGATTGCTTAGATAATCAATCCCTTTTTATTTCTTTCCTTGATTGGATCCAGTATTTGTCTCATTTTTGCTTTCACATAAGAGACAGAGACTACAAAGGACCTGGTTGGGGGGGGGGGGGGGTACCCTTCCATTGATTTAGATGGCAGAAAAGGTGTCGTCTTCAATTGAGAGAATCCGATAGCTACCAATTTCTATTGCCAATAATGTCATGGTTGTTGAAGAAAGAATATATGGTTTGGTCTCGGTTGGTAATGGTCCTTATTCTTCTTAAAGTACAGTAAATTTCCAGCCTGTAAAAATCACCTATTTAGCTTTTCATCAATTTTAATTATGGAACTTTTATCAAAGCTTTTGGTATATCAAGTGATTTCAAAAATTTTACCAAATACATAGAAATCAATGCCATGAGTCACGCTAACAATCATCTGATCTGTTAATACCAGTCACCAGTTAAGTATAACTTGGCCAATGCCATTTGGGTTTCAAGTTTCAATTGATCCTCTGCTTGGAGAATAAGAGCATGGATGAAAATTACATACATCTTAAATTGATGGTTACCATTTCTTTTTCCTGTTAGGTTTGGAGACAGCATCAACTCCATTTTCTTTTTGCAATTTTCTCCTACCCTTTCCTTTTTCTTGGGATCTTCCTTTGCAACAGTTTGCGGGGTCAACCATAGACCTTATGGAAAACCTCAATGGGCCTACTGCAAAAACTGAGGATGCTTCAAATAACTATGGTGTAATTGTGCAAGTCTTCAAGGTCTTCCACCTGGTCAAGTCAAGGGTGTAGTAATTCAAACAACACTTATTTTCACCTGGTAAAATTTTAAACTTCAGCTCAATGTTTCCACATTTCTGTGACAAACTCTTGAAAGATAAATGCAAAGAGAATGATATTGGGGAAAGATTTGGAAACTTGGAGACAATAAGGATGCTTCTTCAAGGTATCAAAAAGGACAGAACAGAAATAAAAACACCTCATCCATGTTGCATTGCCGATAAATAGTTAAAACATTATCTCAGTATCTTGGAGAGCCTAAAGTACATAGCCATACTCTTGTGTTTCGGATTTCCCTTCTCTTGTCACTGCAAGGCACATAAACTACCTACAGACAGCAGCTAAAACAGAAATTCTATGTTACTTGTCTTGCCATTTAGTGGCTTTTCAAATGGCAAAACAACATGTCACCCTAAACTTTGTTTTCACCGATGTGCTTGTTAGCATGGGCAAAGATTGTCATAACAGTGGCAACCCTTTAGGGATTGTGGTATGCTGGGATTCATTTAGATGAAAAAAATATATGTAGATAATATAATTGGGTAAATAATGGTGTAATGATTCCATCGCTGTCTGATGAGATTGCTAATGATTTTCATGTAGAAAAATTAGAAAGGGATAAGAGAAAATTATTTGATAAGATGTTTGTTGTTCTATATGTATTTCTTTTCTTTTAGATAAAATGGAATTCATTGATCAAAATTGACAGCAGGACCAGCCTATGGCAATGTACATTTAAGAACTGCAATATGCAGCAGAAGAAAGAAGAACCCAAACAAGAAAGGAGCTATACAAAAAAGAAGCAGAGGGTGAAGAAGAAATTATCTTTCAGCCAGGCCCCTACCCTCACAAAGAATCAGAAAGCTAACCTAAAAATGGCAGTAAAGGCACAGAACTTTAGCCTATTGCTTACCTTTTCTTTTAATATATATATTCAATTTCTTTTTCTTTTTTTTTGTAATTAAGGTTACCAATAATTAAACCTTAATTATTGAAATTAAAATTCAACAGAACAGACAACCGTTCACTACTGTTTTATTTATTTTATTTATTATTTTAGTTATGGTTTGGGTATTTAGAATGCAAATTAGGCTCTTGTAAAGATTATTTTCAAACCCTGAAATGAAAATAAAAGTGATTTTATGTGCTATAAAAAATGTTTAATTGTAACAAAAAAAAGGTATAATACTCAAATAAGTCCTTAAATTTTACTCCAAAATGCAAATAAATCCTCAATTTTTTATTGTATGAAATTAAGGCCATAGACTTTTATTTATTGTAATTAGAATCTTGATGGTATAAAATATTTAATTTCTTGTTTAAATCTTTTTTAATTGCATGATTTAATTTACAAAAAAATACTTATTTAAATTCATTTGAATGAGTTAAATGATAAATATATAAGAGAATATTATTTTAAAAATTCTATCAATTGGACATTATTCATCAATTTTAAAATTTAATGAGTATAATTACAATAAAATAAAAATTTATAAATTTAATTTTATACAATAAAAGATTAAATATTTTTTTGTATTTTGAAACATAGTTTGAGGGTTTACTTATGTATTAAGCCGAAGTTGTAAATTTATAGTTTTTATTTTCTTTTTATTTTGGACCCATTTTGTCATAGAAGAAAATTGGGTCAATATCGATGATAGGCCCAAAAATATAAAATACATTTTGTCTAAATGATTGGGCTTGGGCCCTCTTTTAACAACCATTTCTTTCATGTCCTCACCTGTAAAATTAATACTTGCCTATATTCTATAAATTAAAAACAAAATGAGGAATTATTTCTCTCCAGGCAATTACTTTGGATTGGATTGGATTTTTTAAAAAAATATAAATATTGGGTTCGAATTTTGGATCAATGGAATAATTTATTTTCATATTTTTATATTCAAAAGTAACTTTAATTTAATTTATGTGGTTAGAGAAATATTAATGGATAAATCATTGTTACAAAATTCAATTATACTAAAAATGAAGGTAATAAAATTTTTATGTAATTAAAATGTTGATAACAGTTATAAGCGATGTATTAATAACTAGGTTTTTTTCACCCATACTTCGCACGAATAGGATTTTATCTTCAAAAGTATTTACATAATATATATGTGCATTAATTTATATGTAATATATATGTGCATAAATATTGTAATGACATATAGATCCGAAAATTTATAATTATATATTGATTTGAGAAGTCGCCATCAATTTTTTTTATTTAGATACGATTGGCAATCTAATTGAATCTGTCCATTTTAAAGAGAAATTCTAAATTTGACTTAGGTATCTCTAAAAGATAAATTCAATATTTGTGAAACTAGAACTATGTCCGAGAGTATGATTACGTGTGAGAAAAGTTATAGCACTTTCATAATGTCCATCGAAAGATGGTACCATCTCGATTTTGTGTTATCCAATAAGCTTTAAAAATTACCAAGTAATTAAATATTGAAAATTACATTTAATTGACTCCAATACTTTTGATAAAAAATTAAAAAAATTTTCTCACCTCAAGAGTATATAAAAAAACTACTGTTTCATTTGTAGAAGCTTCATAATCGGATTATTTAACATTAAAATTTTTTCAAGAAAAGAAAAAGACAAAAAGAAAAAGGGATAATGATTTGACTTTTGATATAGATCTCTTTTGTGTTTTATAAGAAAAAAAACCCATGCTTTTATACAAAAAAAATTGATACTTTTAATTTTTCCTTAAAAATATATTTTTTTGAAAATTTTATTTTTAAGAAAAATTGGTACTTCCAACTTTTCCTTAGAAATATTTTGTAATAATTTTATTTTCAAGAAAAATTAATACTTTCAACTTTTTCTTAAAAATATTTTTTTGAAAATTTTTATTTTATATATATTTTTTATTTTTTTAAATTTATTCATGCAAAAATACTCTTAAAAATAAACACATAAATAAATAAATAAATACAAAATAAAAAAAAAACTAAAAAATCGAAACAACTCGGTTGGAAGGTTAGCGCAACTCGGTTCCAGACACAGAAAACGGCTCAAAGGCTCGGTTCAATGAAAAATCGACTCGACTCGGCTCAGTAAGAAGGTCTACAAAGCGGGTTGCGCTACAGGTTAAGTCGCCTCAGGTGGAAACGCGTTAATCTTGGATTCTTTTAAAGGCCAAAATGACGTCATTTTGAGGAGGCTATAAAAGCCCAAGTTTCAGCCTTCTGACTCAGATCTCTCTTTATTTTTTCTTTCTCTTTCTCTTTCTTTTCTCTCCCTTTCTCTTTAGAATAAGATGAATTCCAGTTGAATCTCCATTGAATTTTGAAAAACGTTACTGAAATCTGGGTTGGTTTGCCTGAAGGTCGTCAAAAAATTCAATCGACTCTGGAATCTGGGTCTGATTCTAGGAAGTCTGTCGAAAAATTCAACCAACACCAAAAAACTTGTCAAAAAATTCAACCAGCGCTGAAAAATTTTGCCATAATCTAGAAATTTTCCAGAAAAAATTTGCCAAAAATTCAAAAAAATTTCTAAAATTTTCAAATTACTTCTGCTCTCCTAAATTTTTTTTTTAGGTTCTGTTTTCTGTATTTTTCCTTTGTGTTCCTTTTTTGTATACCCAAGCCTATATTTATAGGGTCTCAAATTTGAGAATGCTAAATAGAATGGGATCTCAATCCCTTCTGGGTTTTAATTCCTCATCCCAGTCCTACCCAAATTCAACCCCTATTTTTTATTTTTCTCATTTTTTTCCTTTTATTATTTTTTATTTTAACAAAAATCAAATGTAGACCCTAGACAGATTAGAGTGTCTATAGCTGCCCCTCTTTGCACATTTTCTGTGAAACAGGAATTGTGCAAAGACGTAGACAACCCCAATCAACTCGACATATCTATTTTTCTTTTTTTTTTGTTTTTGTTGTTTTTTTTTTTGTTTTTGAAAAAAGTAAATAAAGCTCCTCTAAACAGAGGCTCAATGACTTTGAAAAAATAAATGTTCCTCTAAATAGAGACAACCACAACTTTGAAAAAATAAATGCTTCTCTAAACAGAGGCAACCATAACTTTGAAACATAAAAATGCTCTTTTAAACAGAGACAACATAATTTTGAAAAAATAAATTGCTTCTCTAAATA